GTGCAGGGGACAACAGAGATGTCCTAAATGTAGAGAAAATCACAGATATGAAGAATGTGGAGAAAACAAACAAGAAAAAATTTGCAATTCAGTGAAGTGTCCTGATGCATCTCAGTAATCCAGGTAAAAAATCAAAGGAAAAAAAATTGTATAGGTCCTCTGGACGGGTTCTTCTTTAATGAAACGTTTCGTCTCTCTTCCAAGAGACTTCTTCAAAATTTCTTCTCCCTGAAGAAGTCTCTTGGAAGAGAGACGAAACGTTTCATTAAAGAAGAACCCGTCCAGAGGACCTATACAATTTTTTTTCCTTTGATTTTTTACCTGGATTACTGAGATGCATCAGGACACTTTTATAGATATATATTTTTTACTGATTTCTTGTTGTTCCTTTTCAGAGTAAACATCTGAAGAGGTTAGGGGGCATTGATGCTGCAGATATGATCAAGAAGTCAATGGCTGCGTAAGTATCCTTATTCTTTTTTGCATTATATTCTTGTCCAGGTAATATGAACAACACAAACTACATGATCCAGTAGTTTTGATAAGTTGAAGAAAATTATGGAAATGGAGTTTATTTCAAAAAATGTTCAACCTAACCCCCACCCCACTCACCCTTTGCTACATTTTCATAATGAACTACATTGCACTATAACATTTAACAGGTAAATCTGTTTTACCATGCCAGAACTATGACAAATAAAATGATGGCCAAAATCAGCCCTAGAGGAAGAAATGGGAAGGTTGCCTTTGTGAAGACTCAACTGTACAAGATAATATGTGGTGAGTTGGCTTTAACTTAGTAGTTTGTATTGTAATTTATGATGTAGTTTTGTTTTCTATCTTGTGAAGAATTCCATGATTCTTTCACGAGCAACATATTTTATATAAATAAAATTTACTCATAATAATAATTTGCATAGTTGAATATTGTATGCATAATAGTTCATAACCAAAATCCTTTTAATTGGACTCTACAGAGCTTGCTCTGATATTTTATATACTATTCCTGTCTCATCCCCCTATGTTCAGTGTGGTTTGATTGATACTGTAATGCAATAGCATAAGG